GCTCCGGAGTCGTTCAAGAGCACGAATAGGTAGGCCCCTTACGGCAGGACATCCTCATCGAGCTGCTTCATTCACGACCGAGCCTGCAACACAATCCCGCTTCAAAGCATGCAACACTTTACGATCGGGTATTGACGAAAGGGAGGATTGCGATGGTGTCAAAAAGCAACGTCTATGTTGTCCCATCGCGATCTCTAGCGCTGGATCTCCTCTCTCCCAGCCCACTCCCACCAGGTCCGCTGCCTCTATCCCTCGTGCGATTGATGGAAGGTGGCGTCATACCAGCGGGCTTCTCCTTGTTGAGCACTGGGAGAGATAACGAGAGAGAAGAGAGATCTGAGCTCAAAGGCTCAGCCAAGGGCAAGATGCACCGCGACTCACGACTCTGAAAGAAGGTGTGCAACACTTCCGATTGTTTGGGCGTGCCAGGACTTGTAGGACCTTCCGGCGATGTCAGACCTGGACTGAGCGGTCCAGCTCGACCAGAGTCTAATGGCGGGCTCGCAAGACGTTCTGGTCGCAATCCCGGCGTTCCTTCGCGCTCTCGATGAGATTCCTGGGTGGAAAGGGCGGTGAACACTTGAATTCAACCAACGCTCGCTCGCTCAATCCACTCACTCGTCTGCCCATACGCGCCGCAGGCCTCGCACTCGTGCTCAAAGGCCCATCATCGGCATCTCCTATCTTCCCTAGCAGCGCCTTTTCCACGCTCGGCAAACTCAGACTGGAGCTTCCCATGGGCCCAACCACTGTGCGCCCGCTGGACGCCGCGTCTCCGTCAGCCGATGCACCCATCGCACCACCCAGACGCGAAAGTTTAGAGCGCGAGTTGGGATCTGATGACATGTTTGCGTAGTGCTGCGCGAGAAACGCTTGTTCGTCTGGCTGCTTGAAACGCGTCGTATTGTTTGACGGGGCCTGGCATGGATGTGGCGCGTCAGCTCCTTGGCCCACACTTGACGCAAGGCAAGCAGCAACGCAACTCACTGGGGCTGTCCAGTCCGAAATGATATCCTCGTACAGCCTGACTGCGCTAGGAACACCAGCATCTTCGGCAGCCGCAAGCTGTCCCGTTTCTTTTTGTCGCGCGAGCTCCAACAAATTTTTGCTGCCCTTTTCCAGCCTGTTTTCTTGTCTGACCTGTTCGACGAGCATGTCCCATTCCCAGCCCTTTGAAGTGGCGTTTGCATCAAATCCATCC